TGGTGAAAGTGGCCGGGCAATTGTCAAGGCCATAATTCAAGAATTTCGATGTCAGGATTTTCACGCCAGTTTGGAGATAATAGTCGCCTGTTTCTCAGCTGTCTGAGAGAAGTGCCGCCCGTAGTGCTGCTGAGCACGCTCAAATTGTCACCCTGATAAATGCCACTCCCCTCATATTCTGCCGGGGGACATTTCCGATCATTTTCTTCCTACCGTCTGCTCCAATCAGAACTGAAGGATTTGATCCAATAATGCTTGAGTTGCTCCCTGTCACATATACGTCCTTCTTTCATTTAAGATAAGATCTTCGAAAATCTGTTCCTGGGTTGCCATATGACATTTATCTTGTCACAGCTTAAACAGTGTGCCGGAGTTAAAATACATGTAATTGTGAATTATGGCAAGATTTATCCTCGTGTCTACAGTGCCCTTCACTTCTAGGAAATCATAAGGTTAACAGTATTCCGCTGTTGAAGATTTTATTTTACGTACGTGTAGTAGGTAGGGAAGTTATAAAGTAGATATAATATAGTTTATGTGGTGCACTGAAGGTTCATTGATACGAGAACCATACCTTAATGAGTAATCAACATTGACGCGTACCATGGTTATCGTTAGAATTATTTACTGGCCGTCGTCACAGAGCTATAATAATACGAGCGCGGCATTGAACAACAAATACCACTTGGTGGGAAAGAGCTCTATTATTGAGTGATTGAGCGAGTGGGTTTAACGTCGCTTTGAACAGTATATAAGGGCGTGTCATATTGATGAAGGAAGAAAGACCGATGTGATACATCTTAGACGTTTACCACTTTGTTGAAATCCATGAGCACGGGCATGGTGCTGACAAACCTAGAAACAAAATCAGGGGAGACCGGGATTCGAACCCACGATCACAGGTTGATGTCCAGGCCGAGGCAGGCAACTCTGCACAGCAAATAGCGGCGCCTTAGATAAGTCGGTCACCCTGCTTCTGCTGCATCATAGCTCCATGCAGCCTAAACACTACGTCGACTGTGTGACTAGCGTTGACTATTGACGTCATTGCCAATGCACCTTACGGCAATACGCATTATTTCTGTATAATAACAACGCCACAGGGGTATTATAAGGCTATAGGGATATTTACTATAAATATACTAATGCTCGGAAATATTGATGAAGTACCAAGGTCTTTGTTTATTATCTGTTTTGCTTTGTAACAAATTTACGGCAGCTAAACCTGGACCATTAACCGTGTCTTTCTTCCTGGGTTCTCCCGCTAGTGGCCTGATCCACCACGTCATGTTGATATGCCTGACTTGATTCTATTTGGTAAACGTTGTGTGAGAGTGTGTCACATCTTATTGATTTCACTTAAATCTAATTCTGCCCTCTCGTCCTGAAGAAGGGCAAGTGGCTTATCTACCGAAGACCTGACGCACCAAGTTTGCAACGTAAACACAGTACAAGGCTGTTGTTAATAAGAAACGACAAACACACTTCGGTAATCATAAGAAATATCCACAAAATGCAGAGTTCCTTGCAAGATTCCGACTATAGCATAAGCATGTGATGATACCAGGTTCTCGCGAAAAGATGATCGTATCCTGCCCCACACGTGGCACAATCATAAACACATGCAAAGGCAAGTGAATTGTTCCTACATAACACAGGAACTTATGGTACAGGTGAAAATAGGGAATTGCATCGGAAATGATAAAGGTTACATTTATGAAATAACGCTGAAGAAGTTTTACATACTTTCAATAATTCATATTGAAGTCAATTATTGTTATTGTTCTTTTTGTGTTACTTATTATACATGATTGTATTGCACTGATCACGAGTAAAATAATATGTTTAATACAAACAACATGTAACAGAATAATTTATTTTCAAACTGTATTCATTACAGTAACTCATTACATTTTGGAATACCATCCACAAAACTTCTTGTGTATTATGCAAATTTAAAGAGAACGTCTTATTAAAGGCTATCGACATTTAAATACGAACGTTATCGCTATAAATCCAACATAAAATGCTTTCAAAGACATTGACGTCACATTCAAAGACAGTGACATCACAGAACGTATGACGTCATCCTCCATAACATTAGATAAGATTTTGTCAGGATTTCAAGTCGCAACTGACCATGACATTCTCTCGTTAATTATTCAATAATTTTAAAAAAAGCTTTGATATTGATATTGTAAAATGTAAAGGATAAGCGTTGCAATCTGATTGGTTGTCAATGAACAAGCTGCCTAACACAGACACCCATCCACCTACTCTTCGCGACCAGCGTTGCTCTTACCCTGATTTGTGACCTGTGGTTTGTACACAGGACCACCTGCCACCACAATACATGTATGATCAACTACACACTGTGAACGAGAACATGATTATAGCAAACACCCCCTGAACACACAAGTGGTCTTCAACACACCGATGTTAGGGAGCCCTTGTGCACGACACAGGAACATGTTGTACTCGCTGGGGAAGCATGCACAGATGGTTTTTCATGTTGACTGTGATTGTCTGTGACACTTATATGTTGTTTGTACTGGTCATTGACCTTGCAATAACACTTTATTATCAAACTTGAACGAGCACTACGACTTAATTAAGATTAGGTTCGACCTTCTTCCCCAATTGACCAGTTGACCATATATGCAGGTGCACAACAACTTTTATTAGTATGGCCGAAAATCATTCATGAAGGGATTAATCGGTGAGTGGTATTATAATTGTGTTCGTCAAACTATCAATGTTACAGTAGAGGAAGAACCACACTGAGACTGACGAGTTGGTGATGGGTGAGAGTTGTTGTTGTGACAACATCACGGCAGAGGAAACAAAACATGCATTCCACCATTTGGGCACCATCGTTTAGAGTGAGTGAGTGAGTGAGTGAGTTGGGTTTAACGCCGTTTTTAACGCCACTCACTCTTGAACTGAGACCTTTTACCTCGTGCTTTTGAGTATAGCTGTATGATCTTTCGACCTTTCAGGGACGTTTGTCAAAACATTCCCAGTATATTAATAATAGAACCAACTTGTCTAAATTGTTATGGTTTCGCCTCCCTTCCAAGACGTAAACATATTTGCTTGAATTAAGATAAGTATTCATTTCTGGTTTTTCCCCATATTTGTGCTATCACTTTCATGATGTCGTTTACATGTAAAAACCAGTGTTGAGTATTAGAAATGAGTTCTTGACAGTGAAAAATAATGTTACCGGCGATAGCAGCAGATGCCATTTGTTGATAGTAGCAAGTAAACCTTCGTGTACTTTCCCGAATAATCAATAAGGGAGAACCGGCCAAACGAAATACGATCTGTTTACACATTTATGTTTAACTTTTGTTCGAAAATACTTCAGTGGACACAACATAAACAACGACGTTGCAAAAACAAAACGTATGGTTTTGTATTTTACAATCTATTTTCAGCGTCTACATTTCAGTTTGTGCATGGCCTGATCGTTTGATAATTTACCATAATACGTTTTTTTCAGGGCTACGGTTAAACTATTACCAACTGGACATTTTGTACCGGTATGTCTTTAGACGTACAGCGGGTACCTGGGTAGGGTCGGGTAAGAGGGGTGTGGATCCCCGGGTAGGGTCGGGTAAGAGGGGTGTGGATCCCCGGGTAGTACATCTGGACCTGGCCAAGCCCAAGACAGTTGCAATCTGATAACATCACTGACGGTTCCATCTCTCTTCGCCTACAGAGCCTAAAGTGCCGATCACCTAGAGTAAAGCCTACAGTGCCGATCACCTACAGTAAAGCTGTTTTTAGTGCACTTTGCCTACACGATGAAAAATGAATACCATACATTAGTTGTGGACTTAGTCCAAAGTATTTTCTATGTTCTATTATAAGAATGACAACATGGTTGTGTTCACAGTCAAGCTGTTGTGGGGGAAAATATGTCATACACAATATGACAAAAACACAAAGTGGAATGTCTCCAGTCACCTCATAAGAAAGTCACGAGTCAAGTGGCTTACGTGATACAAGTTGACAGAGTTACGACTACTGGTGCAACAGTTTGTATATATATACATATACATATACATATGGATATAGACAAGGAGTATACTATACATACAGGCCTCGAAGAAATGAAATGAAAGTATGAGAACACATATCATGTATATGGGGCACAAAATGTCTTGTGTTTGGCATATGATGGCAAAAATACTTGAAAATACTCCAAGGGTCAAGAAATAAACAGGACCCTGTATGTGCCAGTCATTTAATCACATGATGTACGGTATTATCACCCGTGTATACATACTGATAACAATGACTTGACACATGTTTCTAAGGAAATGATTATTAGTTTAAATGAAAATTCATATACTATAAAAATAATAAGAACAAGTTGTTCCTAAGAGTACTGGCCGCTTATCTAGACTTGCCTATTAAAAGTAACAAATGACTATACATACATGGACTTATCATTCAGTACAGACTTGGAGCAAGGCTATGTTAACCCCAACAGCAATGGGTTGATGCAGCAATATAAACATGGGTATACATGGTATAGGGACTTGTGATACTGAAACAAGTTTCCAGATACACACGCCCACTCATACATTAACAGGTACAACAGGGATAGTAGAACACTGCACTGAAATAAAAATATGTAAAATGTCCAAAGCAAGTCTATAACGCTTTGCCAAAAGTAGATTTCTCCTGAAAAATGACAAGATTCTATGGATTCCTTTGTATGACATATTACAAGACATTTCAAACAAAAAATGTTAGCACCGTATTCGCCGTAATAAGAGCCCCAGGACCAGCCACAATAACTTAAATCTGTTGTCAGGGATATAGCGGAAGGGGAGAAACTTGGTTCAGTCATTGGTGACATCAAAAGCTTGTTTGCTAATAGCTGAAGTATATACACAAGAAAATAGGACCTATTCCTGTAAATGAGTTATTGGAGTGGGGTGCTTTTAAGGAGACTACAGTGGCTACCATGGTAAAAAAACACCTACCTTACACCATCTTCCATCTAGAAGTAAATATCAAGGGGCTGTGAGGAGGCTGTGTCAGGAGGCTGTGTCTGGAGGATGTGTCAGGTGGGTTTGTCCAGATGCTGTGTCCGGAGGCTGGGTCCAGACGATGTGTGGAAAGGTCATGTTGGTGGCCGTACCACCATGTTAGTCTGGGTCTGCAACAATGTCCAACACAATGAACACAACTAATTGACAGCCAAAGGAAGAAAGATAAACCATAATTCAATGCAAAAATTAATGTCCAGATATCATAGAAATAAACTACAAATTGAACTTAATGGAAATTTATAAATAATATGTTAATATGTGATTTTCTCCTAGTTTAGGACACTAGAAAAAGTACTGTCACCATGGATTCAATCTACTAGTAACACGAAAGACAAGTGCCGACAACGTTATTAACTGTAAGGTTACGTGTTTAGAAAAAAAGAAGAGATTTTAAAGATAAAAAAAGATGAGACAAAGAACTGTTTCCTTGGGAGTGGGAGCCAGGGGGGAGAGGGCCGTGGTTGTGTGACATCGGGTCAGCAGGTCTGTACAGCAGCAATGGAATAAAGACAAAGACTTTGTCAGTGAATGGAGCATAAAGACTGAATACTCATAATAAAGGAAGGTGTTTTTGTGGGAAATACGGTAGTTGAATACTTAGGTTTGTTGACACTGTTCGGGCGTGGTCAGTGTGTGAAGGTATGGACGTATAATACATACAAGAATACAGGAAGAAAGGGGCCTGCTTACTCGCCATGAAAACACTTGGAATGCGCACAAGAGAGAGACAAAGACAGGTGACCATGTCTTGGAGGCCTGCCAATGTCCAAGGCACGTGACATGGTTTCCAACATGCTTTGTCCCTATTTGACAGAATGGCAGCTACATGCAAGAAATAGAAACTGTTGAGTAAAATATAAGAAGGAACTTACAGCTGTCCCTGACCAGCGACGAAGATTTGACCAGACAGAACCAGCAAGTTGGTGATGCCGTGCACAAGAAACGTGTGTGCCGCCATGGCCAGCTGATGGAAGTAAACAAGGCCGTTCGTGAACTCGCCTGTGATTGGTGCTTGCTGCTTCCGGTTTCGGAAAGGCGGGTGATTGGTTAGACTTGCTCCAAGTCTCTACTGAATAATAAGTACATGAAAATACAGTAATTCTATACTGATTATAATTGACTTGTCTACAAGGAGGCCAGTCTTTTAAAGGGACAAACTGTTTGTATCATTGATATATATAAGGAATTATGATTGGAACTAATAACCATATTCTAAGAGACTTGTGCAAGTGTAGAGGTCGGTGAAATGGAGACCATGAGCATGGTGGGTTTGTGTGAAAAGTGGAAACAAGTAGGAAGGAGTTGATCTATAAGGAAGAAGATCTATTTGAGACATTGGCTGCTTGAAAAGTAAAGAATAATTATGCAATAATTTGTTTTTACAGAAAACATAAGACATGAAGATAAATGTTGGACTAGTTGCTGACATTATGATTTTTCTGTCAAATGTTACTGATATTACATCATTAACAGGACATTGATGCTGTTTGTCCCATCTTATGAAGGAGTGCAGTTGAGTTCAATGATTCATTTCAAGATTAACACATACCATAGTCTCTTCAATAAAGTTTTGTATAAAGTCGATTCTATGAGGAACCATCCAAGTCTCTTAATATTTGACAATTGAATAATTATAGAGTGAGTGAGTGAGGTTTAATGCTGCTTTGAACAGTATTCCAGTTACATCACAGCGAAGAGGCTGATTGAGCTGAGAATGGGATAAGTATAGGATGATAGAGTGAGTAAGAGAGTGAGGTTTAATGCTCCTGAAAACCGTGGAACTGAGCTATCATATGGAGCTGAGAAGGGATGAGGAACAGAATGGGGGTCATTGTTTAATATGATATGGGGTCTTAAAGAGAGACAAGATTATTTAAAACCACCAACTTTCCTCTCCTGAAAATGAAGAAATTCTCTGGAATACTTTGTATCATATGTTGCCATGGTTGCAAGACATTTGAAACAAAAAACATAAACATAGGACTAAATGGTAGCAGAAGTCAGCACCCTGGGAGCTGGACAAATTGACAAAGGTTGGGGGCGCTTATTGAAAACAACCACAAGTTACATTTGTTGTCATAGCCGTAGCGGTGCTCGAAACTTGTTAAAAATGGTAAGAATTTTCCAAAAATTACCTTGGATCAAGTAAAAGAGATAGTTAACCATGCCCTTCCACAAAACTAACCCTAAGGATTGTATAGGGGAGCTTGATGGAAACCGGGTACCTAACTCTAATGATCGTAAAGGGGTGCTGGATCGTAAAGGGGTGCTGGACCTGAAAGGGGTACCTAACGTGAAGGATTGCTTTGGGGTGCTTGATGGTAACAGGGTACCTAACCCTAATGACCATAAAGGGGTGCTTGATCGGAAAGGGGTACCTAACCCTAATAATCACAAAGGGTTGCTTGATTAACCTATCCTAACACAAACACAACTTGTCCTAGGGATTGAAGAGGAACACAAGACCTGTGAAGTGAGAGCCACAATCGACAGCCTCAGCCAATTAGCGCTAACTAAGCTGGGCCAAGTAAACTGCATTGCTGATGGTCACTCCTTCACCATTGCTGTGATAATCTTTCAGGATTATCTGAACTAGAGGCCCATATTCAGCCCCAAGTGTGAAGCAAATGACAGTACAAATTCCCAATTTGAATCTAAAATTTTCCAATTCCTCAGAAAGTACAATTTTTTTAACATGAACAAAAATACAATTTTGAACAATATCAGAAATTCCCCCTCCTCCCCAAATTTGCCTGCCAAGAGCACCTTGTTTGGAATTCTGGATAAATCCTGGCTTTTATAGGAGCAGGGTGCTGGATACCGCAAACACACAATGAGACCGAGGTATCAAATGACCTACCTTTCACAATGCTCCATAAAGAAGAAAATATCAGGGGCTGTGGTAAGTTGTGTCAGAGATTGTGTCGGCGGCCACAGAGCCATCTTGGTGAGGGTCTGCAACAATGTCCAACACAATGAGCAGATTAACAGCCAAAACAAGATTAACCATAATTACTCCACAAATGTAAACATTCTGATACCTTGGAAACCAACACAAAAAAATCTATTTCTTAGAAATTTAGATGGAAAGATTTCAATAAATGTCACTTTTCCTGGTTCATGATACTGGATAATTACAGAACTGTTACCATGGTTACAATAAAGTGGTAACACAAAGAGACTAATGTCAACAATGTTACTGAGTTTTAGGTTAAGTTTTTAGAAGAAAAAATGGCAGATGTTAAAGGAGTAATAATCGATGATACAGTTAACTTTTCCCTCTGCATTTAAAGCAGCATGACAGGATTTGGGGGGGGGGGGGGGGGGGGGGGGGGGGTGAGGGCCAGGGAAGTGTGACATCGGTTCGGCAGGCCTGTACAGCAGCAATGGGATAAAGACAAACAAACGGATGAATGAATGGTGCATATTGATTAATGATAATAAAGTCCAGCTCTTGTCGGATTAAATACGGTAGGCTAGTTGTATACACTGTGAGAGGGCGTGGTCAGAACGTGAAGGTACGCATTTATCATACATACAAGAATACAGGAAGCACGCCGCCTGCTTCTTCGCCACGAAAACACTTGCCACGTGCACCAGAGAGCGGCCGAAACAGGTGACATTTTCTGGGATCAAAGAAGAAGTTGCAAATGGCCAAGAGGGCAGGGTTTGGAACGTGCTTCGTCCCTGTTTGACAGAATGGCCGGTCTTTGCAAGAAATAAAAGATGTCAGTGAAATATACGAATGAACTTACCTTGAGATACATGTGCATAGTCGTACTCTCCCTCGATGCAGATGCGACAAGACCGAGCGAGCACGGTTGGGTGTGGTGATTGCAGCCAGCGACCGTCAGATACGTGCTCCCCCATGGCCAGCCGATGGAGGAAATGACGGCCTTTGGCATTCGTGACCTCGCTTGTGATTGGTGCTTTGCCGCTTCCTTCCGGGTGGCTTGGTGCCGGCTGTCTAAACTGCGTTTTTTGGCGGTCGGTGCAATGCCCAGATGCTCTCGGTGTAGCCGGTGTCTTCCAAGTGGCTTGGTACCGGCTGTCTAAACTGCGTTTTTTGGCGGTCGGTGCAATACCCAGATGCTCTCGGTACAGTCGGTGTAGTCAAGTGGTGGATTTGTGTGAAAAGTGGAATGACTACATGTATGACGAATAAAATATATTTTCCTTTATTGGTTCCTGCCAAAAATAAAGTACAAAAATAAAAATATTTGTTTTACAGACAACTACGGAAACCTTTCCGGGCCATTTGTTTTGTTGTTTTTTTTCTTTAAATTTGAAGATAGTAAGTTGAAATTTGGAGAAAGAAAGGCTTCCGTAGACAACAGAAGGCGTGAAAGTAAAGTAGTTAACACTTTGAAACCTGAAGACGTGTGTGCAATAAATGGTGCCAATTGGAAAGAGAATTAAAGCTACACTGAAGGGCAACAGCACGAACACGAAATGGCAAGAAAGCCAAAAATAAATACGCCAGTCCCGTGCAAGAAGTAAAATGACTAGAAGTAGACTGAATATATTGACTTTAAAAATTCTATTTTATTTTTTTAATTTGGTTTTATTCATTTATTTTTTTTAGAAAAATGTGATGAAATGAAAGATAATACAAGACAAGACAAGACAAGACAGGACACGATAATTGAAAATATTTGTTAATACATCGTGTTTAAAACAAAGGCGTAAACATGGAAGAAAGCGGAGAAGAAGCGGGGTAAAAGCGGGGCAAAAGCGGGGCCCGAGTAATCGAGACCCCAAAGAAGGGAAAGGGAGAAAAGCGATTAGTCGGTCGGTGAAAAGGGAGCGATTGGATTGGCGAGGGTTGAAGGGTGAGAGTTGAGTTGGGGGTTCATGTAGTATGTAAGTAGTTCTTTAAAAAAAGAGTTCTTACTGAAAAAGGGGTTTGCAGCCATCAAGGGTGCCCCTGGGCCAAAGCGAGCGGTGCCAAGAGACTGCGAACAGAACCCGAAGACACAAGAACTTCCAAAAGAACCCCAAAGTAGCACAAAAGGGATTTTCAGACGTGTGTGAATTGTCTGGAAAACACCCATTCTATTTATAAATGTTCGGATATACCGCGAGATTAATAAGATTATATCGGTGGCCACATTAGCGCTGTGAAATAATACATTTGGACCTTATGGGTGTACAGGATCGTTTGTCTGGCCATGGGATAATTTATTTGTAGGTTTTAAGCTAGCAACATCCCCCGTTAACCACCAGTGCAGGTTTTGTTCGGGGACCCAAAATGGAATACCATATACCATACGTACGTTATTTCAAGTTTTGTAAATACGCAAAAGATGCCTAAACCACAAAGACAAATACTATTGATTCATTCGAAAACTGAAAGAGCAACACTATTCGTTGGGTAAGAATAATATTTTTGGAATATTAGACGTTATATTTATATAGATCTTACCATTTCTCAGCGCACTTATTGAACTATAAATGAATAATTGCGTTTTATGAATGATTTCGACTCAAACGTTTTATTAGAGCACTATTAATCTCATGACACATTGTTATAAAAGTGTTCCCCTGTGCTGTAGGCAAGGGAGGTGCTGGTTTGAGGGATGTCAATGTATAGGCAGCACCATACGTTGTATTATTGGTTTGTTGTTTAACGCCGCGCTCAGCGTTATTCCAGCTATAAGACGGCGGTCTGTAAATAATCGAGTCTGGACCAGACAATACAGTGATTGACATCATGAGCATCGATCCACGCAATTGGAATCGATGACATGCATCAACCAAGTCAGTGAGTCTGACCACCCGATCACGTTAGTGTCCTTTTACGACAAGCATGGGTTGCTGAAGACCTATTCTACCCCGGATCTTCATGGGTCTATACGTTGTATTAATGTATTACCTAAGTGATTAAACACACACATCTCTCAGAATGTCACATTGAAACACGTTGCACAGTCTTCCTCAGTGTTTAACTTGTAATAATGGAAGAGGTGACAAAAACTCCTATAGTATGGGATAGGGAGGCTGAATGGCCGTTTGCGCTGGTTAATGTTGCACAATGTTGCACATGAAATACATAGTGCCATAACTACTAAAGTTTCATCCAATTTCAGATCATTGTCAGCTGGGAAAGGTATAAGTGTATTGACCCGGAACATCAATACTGGTGCTACCTCCTCTCCACCCCCCAACCCCACCCCACCCCACCACTTCACGCCCCCTCTCTCACCCCCCTTCTCTCTTGAGACTTGCTTGAGTTTACCGTCCCCAGCGGCCTGTCCTTGTCGTAAGATGGGTTGTTGATGTGACTGAACTGAGTGAAGCGGCAGGAAAATATCTCAAAAATAGCCGTTCACAGAGACCGAGTTGGATAATGCGGCTGCAAGACTGAAACTAGGTTTTAGGTCTTGCAAACAAATAATTTCCATTACTTTTGTTTTACAAGAACGCTATCCATGCTTTATTTAACGACACGGTAAACTATTCATTCAGCTGTTTATGTCTATGTCTATAAAAGATCATATAAAAATCTAAAGGGAACCCAGCAGATACGAACTCATATACTTTGTTAAGGAAGCGCGACACAGTACCGACTGTGCTAAAGTCATATACCTTAACAGCTTGGTAGAGTTAATGCTGCGGCAATGCGGGGGAATATACAAAGTGGGGCTCGTTTGTTTTCCTTACCACTGGTGTTCAGTAAATGCTTGCCGCGGTTTGTTGGTGCCCAGGGTTCAAACTATTGAATGGCATAATGCCGGGGGTTCTTTGGAAACCTCGAGCGATTCGGCCACAGAACATATCTCAAAGTGTGGTCAAGTGGCTGAAACAGTCAGTAGTTTTTTTTTGGGGGGGGGGGGGGGTTGACGGAAACAACCATGAGAGTGGTTTCAGGGAATGACAAGTGTAACAGTGAGCCTGGTGACACACATGTGTTGTTCGACGCTAAAATTGCTCTCATTGAAGAAACTACAGCGGTTGATAGAAGCCACTGCGGCAAGGCTCCTGGTGTTGACGATATATCATGGAATGTCTTAAATAACAAAATGGTATTTCGGCTATGCACCTTATTTTTAATATCTGTTTTAGCACAGGGAAAATCCCTGCATACCAACTTGTTCTACTTTACATCATTCGGATACTATATCCTATAGAGGTTTGACCCTCATCAATTCTATGTACAAATTAAATTGTAATATTTTAAAAAAACGGTCTGCAATCTTGGTCTGAAACTACAGGAGCTCTTTGATGCACAAAATGGGTTCCGCAAGCATAGATCAACTACGGATCATATTCACCGTGTTTGTTCTTTTATTGAAACAAGAAAAGGTAATAAAAAGACACTTTTTCTGATTTTATTGACTTTCATATGTGCTTTTACTGACTTAAGCTTATGATAGCATTAACAGAGAAATTATGCAACATTGGTGTGAAAGGGAAAATGTTTCTAGCACTTCAATCATCTCTATATGATAATGTGAAATGCAGTGTACGTATAAATGGTATGCTTACATCCTGGTTTAATGCTAATCAGGATTTAAAACAAGGATGTTTACTCTCGCCACTTCCGTTTAACTTTTTTATTAATGATTTGCTTGACAAACTAAATGAAACTGGTATTGGGATTTGTGTTGATGATATTACTATTGCAGTTTTAGCATATGCTGATGATCTTATTTTACTTGCAGAATCGGCAGATGATTGGAATCGTCTATTACATGTTTTGAATACTTGGTGTGTAGGCAATAGTTTCCTTTTTAGTTATGACAAATCCAAGATTGTACACTTTAGAAATGTAAGCCTTCCAAGAACAACACCTTGTTTTTAATATTGGTGACTCTGTTTTAGATATTGTTACTTGTTAGAATTATCGTGGCCCACTGCGCACGAAACATCTGGACTACAATGCAATTGCGAAAGCAGCGGCTAAATCGGTTTTAGGTCTTCTTATATGTAAATATGAGGTATGCAATCCCCTATTCCAAATTGTATGATACGATGGTTTGCCCAGTCTTGAGTTATGGGGCATCTATCTGGGGTCATGGTGACATTTCTGCTGTAAATGCCCTTCACCATCGTGCTTTGAGATTTTTCTAAGGGCTGGGTAAATACGCTCCAAATGTTGCTGTTAATGGAGACAGGGGATGGATTCCTCCGATAGATAGACAGTGGATGTGTATTGTTAGACTGTATTGTCGTTTTACTTAAATGTCCTTCAGATTATGTTTCAGGTGGTTTGAACGGTATGCTGGTGGACGCGTGAAAAACTGGAACTTTCGTGTGAGGGCAAAGCTGAACGAATGGGGTCTGAATATTTAGATATCCGCATGGGAAAGTATGTGGAATGAACTTTTATTCAAGCCTGGCGGAAGAACGGCTGGTTATAAATAACGCGCGTATAGAATGTTTAAAGATGTGTATGGGTGTGAAAGTATGTATATGCCTCGTTCTTACCGCTCTGCCTTCTCGAAATTTAGATCACGAAGACATACGAATAGGGATGTGAATGAAAGAATGTGTTTTCAGTGTAAGGAAAGTATTGATGATGAATGGCATGTATTGCTGGATTGCCCTGTGTACGACGATCTGTGTGAAAGTTTATACGAAAAGGTCAGTTTTAGCTATCCCAAATACCTACAGTTACGTAATACTGATAAACTTATTTCCTTTTTTAGGAATTATATTTAACAGCCAAAACCTGCTTTTTAAGAAGTAAAGATATTTTATATGGCTAGTGACCGGTAGAATATTATATTATATATACATTACTATTTGTTCAATAAAAACAAAACAGTCATGGTAATATGTGTGCATGTATAGGCCTACTATAAATGATAAAAGTAACCCTAAAATATAAAATAAATTATAAATTAGATAAAACATATAAAACCAAAGGGATCTGGCAATTCTTTATACCATTACAGACATAATACAAGACAGTAATTCAGTGTTCAGACCTATACAAGACAGTAATTCATTGTTCAGACCTATACAAGACAGTAATTGGTTGTTCAGACCTATACAAGACAGTAATTC